TTCCCTATGGGGACTAACACATACACATTATTATTATTATTATTATTATTATTATTATTATTATAAATAAAAGTGAAATAATTTATAAGAGACTAATAATAGAATAAATAACAAGATTAAACAGTAATAGGGACTTGGTAAGATGTGCTTTCTCTCTCGTGGGATCTCATGGAAAAAGCAATTTGTTTTTATTTATTGATTTTTCTCCACATTATGAAGATTGCATAAGCAACACACAAGCTCTCTAAGGCTGGGCCACCTGGCTTTAGAAATGCGAGCCGTTAAACTCGCAGATAGTTTATTTTTGTGTTTGCAAATCCAAAAAGAAAGTCTTTCCAATTGAAAACCAAACTTGTTCTGAATAAAGTGTCTAATTTTGCATGACGTTTGCACCACAAAGTTTGAAAACTTTTGAAAAGCCTGAAATCCAGTTCAGCAAGTTGTAATGGAACAGTACATGACATAATATACAGCAAAACAAAACAAAGAATCACAGCTTTATGCAAAAGTAATCCAGTAAATGCTTCAGAAGAAATAAAGATCGGTCCAATAAACAGAGTAAAGGAACGGGTGTATTGAAAACCTGATTTGAGGCGACAAAACAAAGCGTGTAGACGAAAAGGTGACGAAGCAGAAACACGAACGGTCTTTGACCATGCAAAGAGAAGATCAAAGAGAAGTTGATCAGAGCTTCTTAATGAATAAAAATGCGATCTGTGCAAAGGTTCAGTTGTTAGCAGCAGTTTGATTTTATCTCTAATGTGACGCAGCTTCTGTATAGATAAATCATGTTTACAGCACACATTTTGACACATCGTGCTATGAAAGGAATGGGTGATATTAATGACTCGAATTATCAGTCCAGGTTCACTGATTAATGACTTAATAATGAATTTTAATAATAATGTTGTTCGTTGGCGCCTTTCAAAGGATTCAAGGTCACCTTAAAACACAAAATGAACAAGAACAGCATTAAAAGAGATTTAAAATCCAAGAATACTATGAATGTAAAACGTATAAAACAAGATGGTTACAGCTGATATGCTAATGTAAACCAGATGGGTTTTGTGCTGCGATTTAAAGAGTGTCAAAGAGTCTAGTTGATGAGCTGAGGTGAAGCACAGCTGTAGGCTGTAGCAGCTTTAAGGCTGAAGTGAAGACTTACAGGCCTCATTAGAGAAAATAGTAGCACCTGTGAATTTTGTGCTATGAAGGAGTACCTGCTTACAGGAAAGTCTTCTAAATTCCCCAAGAATTCTCCTGGTGTGAAAAATGTCTGTGTACTTATGTAACGCACGTCGACACCTAATGTTTACTCGTGCCATTTTCTCTCTGTCAGCTCAATCATGGGAGACGCCGGCTGCTGCGAGCAATCAGAGTCCAAACCCCAACAACCCAGCCGAGTACTGCTCCACCATCCCCCCTCTGCAGCAGGCTCAGGCCTCTGGGGTGCTCAGCTCGCCCCCTCCAACCGTCATGGTGCCCGTGGGAGTCCTGAAGCAGCCTGGCAACGAGGGTACGACCTTTATGGGGAATAAAAGTACTCTTATGCTAACATCTTTTGTAACCATTGAAAGTGACACTTTGTCCTCTGCAGATTTTTCCTTATATGATGATATTTCATTTACACTGTGTGTGTGTGTGTGGGGGGGGGGATCTCAATGACAGTTTTAGCTTTTAACAGTCGATATAAATCGGAATGTAATTGATATATTGTGCTGTTTATTTCAAAATAATAATTTTTTATGGCTCAGTGCACTACTTTCCCAACTGTTTACATTTCTAAATGATCACATTCACCCCACATCAGGCAGTAGTAGCTATAAAATTCATATGTCCTCCTCCCTCAAGTAAATTTTAATTAAAAATCCAAGGTAGTCCACTTAATTATTTTCTTTCTTAAAATAAATCGACTAGCAGGCAAACAATTTATTTATATAGCACTTTTCAAAGACAAGAGCAACTGTTTTGTGGAAAATAATCACACAAAAATTAAAAAGAATGTCCCGAGAATATACATTTAAATGAAGAAGACAGAAGATTATTACATTGCAAAATAATTGATCAATTGATCAACAGCTGTGCAAGAAGCAAAAGACAAAATGTAGACTGCTCAAAAGCCAAACTGCCATAAAACATGTTCTTGGGACAGTAACAGATATGTTTCTAAGTGATTTTTCAGTCTGTATGACCTCCAGACCTCCCACAGGTCAGGCTGCACAGCCTCAAACACTCCACCGCCACGTGTCTGTCTACTTTCTACAGCATACTGAAAAATTATGTATTTTAATATGCTCTAAAATCCTCTAACTTCACGTTGAAGCATCACAGATTTCCTGCTGCGAGGAAGGTGAAATCCAAGGTCAGAGGAGAGGTCAAAAGCTCAAATGGAGATGACATAAGATTCGAAATTGGACAGTTGAATTTCATGCTTGATATCAAACTGGATGAACAGTTTAGGAAAATTGGCATCAACCTACTTCAGTTGGCTCATTTCTACCAAATTTCAGGGGTCAAAGTGCCTTTATATTTATGTTATTCCAGGTTTCAGTTAATAACTTTTTGTCAACCAATACCCTTAAGTGTCCTTTTCAGTTTTAGCCCCCACAAAATCATTTGTGTGGCTTAATTTATTTTGAAAGAATTTTGGCTGTAGCCCAGTGTAATCATATTAAATAATCGTGATCTCAGCATTGACCAAAACAATTATGATTGATGCTTTTAATTTGACAGCGTGTCTTTGACATTCAGGGTCCGTCTCACGAGAGCAGAGGAGGGTGTGGTTCGCCGATGGAGTCCTACCCAATGGTGACGCAGCAGAGTCACCCAAACCGCCGACCTCCAGCTCTGCTCCTTCGCAGTCACTCGCCATCAATAAATCCTCCACTTCTGAGTCCACTGAGGTAGGCTTGGCAGCCCCAACTAATACTATTAGGTTAGCTATGTATGACCCTATTTGCTACTCTGCATTTTGCTGATGGGAGTCACAAAGAACTCTTTATGTGGTATTGTTGGCGGTATGCTGGCTCGGTCTCAGACTGTGATAAACAGCAGTAGGTCAAAGGAAACATTCCTTGTTGCATTATGAGAATTAGAAAGTCCACTCGATTGAAATGCTTAAAGCTGGAATGTGCTTTACTCGGGTCACTCAGCTTGTCTCGAAGTGGATAACAGAACAGCAAGCCGTATCCGGTTGTTTCTGTGGTTTTGGTGTATCAAGCATCAGCTGTCAGGATGATTCATGGCCTCTGAAACAAAGTGACTCCCTGTGAATCCCAGAAAGCCTTACTATGCTTTGTAGACAGAACATGAGCTTAAAACCAGACTTTAACATGTGAAAGTCAATGTGAGAATTCAAGTCTTGGTGAATTTGATGCCAGAAATTCTTCTCCAGAGAAGACGAGCCCTTTAGTTTGACCGGAGCACACGAAAGGCATTTGTTGTGCATTCATAACTGTTTTCATGGTTTGCTTCTCAAATAAAAGCGACTAACCTAAAAAGGGCAGAGTGAGAGAGGCTTTGGTTCAGGCTAGAAGAAAAAGACCCTCAATCAGTTTTTCATTTTACTTATCATAGGGAAGAGTACGATGGAGCCAGTGAAACAAGTTAGATGTCCTCTGCCGCTGTGGAGGAGCTTTTTCAAATCTGACAAAATGACTCAAGCAGCATAAGTAATCACATTTTGGTAGATTTATAACAGACCGGTCGCAAAGTCTTTGAAAGAAGGTCGAGAGCAATTAATATAAGATGCTATTAATTTGTATTGAGCTTGTTCAAGAAACTTAATGTCGAGATAGCTGTGGTCTCTAATGTCGACCCAATATTTGTCTTTAAATAAAATTTAAGGGACTTTATTGTGTTAGTTTTTCAGTGTGACGATTTCATTTTTGGAATCTAGTAAAGTAGCTTTGCATGATTTACAGGTCATAATAATCCTTATTTATCTTGTAGACTGTAAATAAATGATGAGTGAAGGGACCACCAGGAGTAATGCAAGAGGCCACCAGGATATCCGGTCATTAAGTGATGACGTGACGAAT